TTCGTCGCGTACTCTGAAAACGGGTATAGGACACGAGGGTTGCTTCCGCCGTCGGCGATGACTCCGATCCAGTCACACGCTACATTTCAGGGCAATGGCGACCGCCAGTGTTGTCTGCTGGACTGTTGAAAAAGATATGGTATCGCAGTTAGATGTCCCCGTCATATGAGTGACGCGTTGTTAGAGAAGAAAAAAAAGACGAACAACTGGACGTTACGACACAACGGGGAGTTGTAGCATTGCGTATACGAGCAAACGCAAGCACTTTGCAGTTTGCGTTAGCGTTGCGTGTTCCGCACTGAGCGTGCGCAGAGCCCGAACAAGCTTCTTGCATTGTAGCATATAGCGGCTACGCGCATGCGCAGCGTGGAGCACGTAACCCTAACGCAACCGTGTACACAGTGTTCGCGTTTGATCCCAAACTCTCTAACAGCGAGTTTTAAAATGGCGTACGCAAAGGCTTTGTGGAACCAAACAATTAGCTCCGTCGCCACGCGCCAATCGAAATCGCGAAATGGGCTCGGTGCATGGGCAGTAGAGACGACGCTATTTCTTGGCGTGCTACTAAAAGTCTCAAATCGAATATTAGCAGCTCGTACGCTGCGGAAAGCGGGCCAGCTCAATACGCGTTTCGAACTGGCGGAACGCGCTCTCGATGGCAATTGAGCAAACCTCTACCGTGCGATCTACTAAAAGTTCCTATTATCAAAAGAACACAGTTTGACAAAGATATAGTTTACGATCGCAATACAATCTATACTTTTAAGAAACAGTAGTTTTTTTTCTTGTTTTGCTAATTTCTTCGCGTGGCTTGATTAAAAAAAATAAAAGAAGACACTTAAGACGGCTTACGTGTAGGAAGGCGAAAGCATTCCTAAACGGGCAGCGCGTTCCTACAGGCAGTGCGCCACATCTTCCTTTTGCACACGGCGCTCTGGCAATGACATCACGCCCCCCCCCCCCCCCCCCCCCCCCCCCCCCCCTCCCTGCTCAGGTGCGGCGCTCCCGTCGGCTCCGCGGCTTCCGTGACAATGCATCTGCGTTGCTGTGCTTCTTTGTGTTTCTTTTTTTTTTTTTTCTTTTTGGCGCGTTTGTTTTGACCTTGAGCGGCGTGTGCTTGGTGAGGTATTTTTGTGCCCATCTTTCGGACACAACGCCGACGCCTTTTCGCGTAATGGGGTGCGTTCAGTCGCGCGCGTACCATACAAAAATAGTTTCCAGGCCTTTTTTTTTATTTTGTCTTTGCGTTTCTTTTCTTTTCAAAGTGGTACAATGCTTTCTCCGTGTCCTCGGGAAGATTCGTACACCATGAAACACAAAATAGAGCAGGAAAAGACAAGAATTTAGCCGCCAGCAGTGTTTGAAACTGCGCCTACGCAGGCTGCGCCAATCGAAATCACAGTCCACTCGGTTAGGGTTAGCAGGAACGCCGGTGAGAGTCTAGTTTAAAACCCAGTGACTGGGGTCGAGAACTGTTGGTTGCCCCTGGGGTCGACTGTTTCTTGGAAAGGTTTATAGGGGGCGCACTAGTTCCTATTAAAATGACTGTCATCTGGGTGATCGCCATATAACAGCTGTATACGAGGTTGGGTCCGGAACGCGTGAGCAGACCTAATTTTGTGAACTACGAGCAATATAAGACTCTTACCTCATACTTCCACGTCAGGAAGGTGTAAGTAAGTACCTTCAATCTGAAGCCGATCCTTCAAGAGCTAGGAACCGCGATCTTCACACCGCGGTACCACCATCGCTGAAAATTGCCAAGTTCGTTCGTTCGTTACCCTTTGCCCTTTCCAAAGGAAGTACGTTCTCCGAACCCTTCTCAGGAAGCCGCGCGTACAACCCACGATAAAGGCCGAACCAAGGTCAAGTACGTAGCCAGTCCAAGAAAGGCATCCGGGAGGATGCCTTTCTAAGGCCTTCACTCGCCCTCCTGTGACCTCCTTTTGTTGCGCACTGGTCGGCTCTTTCACGTTGCACACTGAATCTTTTAGCGTTTCCTATCTCCAGTGCAAATGTCGAAAGAGTACATGTTCTCTATGTTTCGCGTCGTCAGTCGGAAGGAGCGTACTGTGGTGACTGAATCCAACATTGCAAAACACGCCTGCATACATTGCAAGTTCTAGCAGATTTCAGTTCCGTCACATATGTTCGCAATATTGGCTGACCAATGAAAGTGTAAGCCCGTATTTGATTTTATGTGATAGATGTCGTAACAAGCTGGCCTAGCAAGATTTCCTCGCATGCAGAACCCCTGCCGCAAAAGCCCCGCGTTATGAGCCCCGCGTTTCGAAAAACCCGCATTCCACAAACCTATTGCTAAATTACCCAAGCATGGAGGAGGATGCAGGGATCGGTGTTCTACTCAGCACACGCGTACGCCTTCCCCTTACGGAAAATGCGAAGTTAATAGCCAAAATAAAACGCTGCCGAACTCGCGTGGGGGATGCCATTTGTTCTAGGTATCTGCTTTAGAAACATCACTACTGCTAAGGCCAGCACGTGTGGCGCGTGGAACACCAATCCCTGCATTCTCCTTGTTGCTTGGGTAATATAGCAATAGGTCTGTTACCCCGGCTGTGTTCCAAATCTTACCCAAATGAACCCGAATTACTCCGGCGGGTCGTGTCACGTGACAACACAAATTGAAGAACGCTGAACGCGGGTAGGTTTTGGAACGCCAAGGTACAAAACTCTTACCCTGGAGTAAGATTGAGTAAATTTTGGAACAGGGCCCCCGTCCCGTATACCCCCGAGCCAAAAGCCCCGTCCTCACTGCCCCCATCCCACCCTCTTTGAGCTTCGATCAGCATTGCTTTATGCGTTAAATTAATCCGTTGAGGGTTTACAAGGAGCCTTCTAACTTAAAACAAAAAGTAAAAGGTTAACTTAAACTGCAGAAAAATTTAGAGTGACGAACAAGTGGCCAGTTGCATAAATTTGCAACCAGCGATGAACTCTGCTGTTATAGAGGTCTACAAAGACGTTGATTTATAGACTTTATCTACCTAGATGGAAACAAATATTTTTAGAACGACGTAAAAAGAATGGAACCGGTGTTTGGTTCTGTATACGTAATAAGAATGATAGAACCCACTTCGTCGGAACTGTGATTTCGCGCGTGCTACAGAGTTGACGAAAGCTTTGGTTCAATGTTTATTCATAAAAACTAACTTTAAATGTTTTGCCAGTGACTAATATTTTCTGTTTGTTCTGACTTCTAACGTCACAAGACGTGAATGTGTATTGGCGACGTGAGCGATCAAAAGCGTCGCTGTGGTCGACCTGCCACGATTGGCCGAATGCTGACTATCAAATTTGGGGGTTTTACGTGCCAAACCAAAGACGGGCATCTGGCACGCCCCAGCGGAGGACTGAGGATTAATTTGGACCGCCTGGGGATCTTTTGACGTGCGACCGAAAGCTCGGTTACACGGCGCCTTTTCCGCATTAAGCCTCCGACAGATTGCGGGCACCTCGGTTGGGATTCGAACCCGCCACATGGGGATCCGTAGGCCAGCGCTCTCGCCTCGGAGCCACCGAGGCGGCTCGAATGCCGACTATGACGTCAGCAAAGGTTTTCTCATCGACGGAAATAAGAGGAATGTACGGACTTCAATTTCGACGCTGTTGCCGAAGTTGGTTTCAAAGTGCTATGGTTTCAAGCTTCCAACATGCTTATTACAAACACCATCGAAATTGTTGTACGCATGGTCATGACGTCAAGAGAGGGAACCACACGAGGGCGCCACCGTAACATCTCGCCGCTAATAGCGTGTGCCTGAAGATTAGGAAGCGTTAGCCAGTTATTCCTTACTACTTGAATGTCGGGTATGGCATGAATATGTTACTCAAGCTGGGCGTGCACACTTACTGTCTCTTAGTGGAAAGCAGCATGCTCCGCACTCGCGCTGCACCGGTGCAGAAAGTGTAGGGCGGCGTACTTTCGGTCGTATCTCAATACACACACCGCGCACTGCCCTACACTTTTCTGCACCGGTGCAATAAGTGCAAGTAGATCGAACGCAGCTACTGTGTACAAACAAACCTGGGTTAGCTTATGCCAGGTGGGGGCACAAAGCATGCGCAGACTAGACCACCGGAAGGGAAGGCTTCTGTACGTCCGTCGCGCCGACAGCAACGCTATCGCTGCGGCGTGACGTCAGTGTCGTGCGTTGGTGCAGGGGCGATGCTGTAAAACCCTTTCTTTTCGCGGCCCCTATTTTTCGCGAATCGCTCACAGAGGACGTAATCAGGGCCACTGAATTTCGCGAATTCCAGACGCTCGCATTTGAAACTCTTAAAGACCGACGACCAGTTCGCGCTTTCCCCTTTTTCCCCGCTTCCTCCTCTTCCCCCTTCGACCCTGTCCACCGTTGCCTGTTTCCTCCTCCTCCATGGTGAGGAGGATCTTCTGCCTTGCAGACTCTCGAGTCTGGTCGTCGGCCTTTACGGACCGAAATTTTCGCGTGCCCCTAAATTTCGCGACTTTTTTCAATTCGGAAAATTCGCGAACATTAAGGGCTCGTAAAAATTAAGGGTTTTACAGTATTGTAACCTAAGCAGTTGGAAATGTGGGAAAGAAGGAAGTTCCTTTTTACCAGGAACCCCTTTTGTGTATCGCGTACGTCGCTCTTGTCCCCCAGCGTAAATTTGTAAAATGGTGGCTTTTCTTTTTTTCACTGCACGTAGCTTTCACAGCGTTGCGCACCGTTACTGTTATGGTTTGCTTTCTAATAGAAACACTCAAGTACGACGTAACATCGTCCGACATCGTGTTAAGTATCCCGTTATAGACTTCATTTGTAGAGCATTGTGATTGGTTCTCAGAATGATGTGCGGTAAAGAAGACGGCCAGACATATGGTATTGTCCAAGCCCTTTATAACAGCTTCGCAATCCTACTATCCTTGAGGTTTTAACCACCGAAAAAAACGTATACATTTCTCGCTAAATGCGAGTCTATTTAGAAAAACAAATCCATTTTCAGGCATTGATGCATTAACAGGGATCTTGTACGCGTACTTTTATCCCCAAGTGGGTCTGCGAATGAAGCACGCAGTCGTGCATCTGAATGAGGCTCTCTTTGAGAGCGTTCCTAAACTCCGCGGCAGACGTCGTCGAGCAGCTGCCGAAGCTGGACACCCCGAAGTTGACGGAATCCGACCGCATGTTGTACAGAACAAAGTAGCCGTCGGGAAACACTGGGCCGACTATCATGACGCCGTCGCACCGAGCGGAGACCTGGAAATAGTAATACATTTCAGATCAAGGCACACGCTTTAAAAGAGAAGTCTGCGAAATCACTTTCCTGCAGAGCACGAATACAGCTAATCGGGGCTAACAATAGACTCATCCCAGCAAATTGCAAAACTGAGAAGGCGACTTTTTTTATGTCACGTGTGCATGGACACAAGGAAAAAATATAATACGTCATTTATTGCCTCGCGCGTCGCCGAACGAGCTAGTGCGTGGCCGAATAGTTACCGTGCTTCGCGCGGAGGCCCCACGTTCGATTCCTGGAAGCGAGCGCTTATTTTATTTGTTCTTTCCATTGATTGTTCTCGTAGGTTCGAGAACCCTGTCGTATTATCGAGTTAGGAATGTTCTACGCACCGAACGTTCAACGCCGAATGTCCCAAAAGCCCACACGTGTAGAAAGTACATAGGGGCTCCGCGTCGCGAGCCGGGGTCAGTCTTGCCCCAGCGTTCGATCATGCTGTTTCGCCGCCATCAACGCCTGTGACGCAAGCCTTTTTCAATATTGTTTTGGGCACAAGTTCGCCCTACTAAACGTTTAGTTTGCTTCAGTTTTCGTTGCCTTATCAATTGTCATTTGTGACAATATTCATTGACTCTGTGCACGTCATTTTTTTTTATAATCATATGTTTAGTTTTGTTATTCGCTGAGATCCTTCTAGCATTGTTCGCTCTGATTGGATGTCTGCGTGTTCTGCGGGAAAGTGAACTCACATACCTTTTAGTAGAGTGTACTCATTACAACTATGTTTTAATGCATTAGCAATAGTACCCATATGACAGGGAAGAGCTGACAGCGTCCGCCTGCGAACAAAAAGGAAGCGCGTCGCGTAGAGAGGAGGACAGTAGGGAAGGGGAAGGGCGAGAAGGAGTTGACGTCACGAGGCGGAAGCCAATACGGGCTCGGATGCTGGAGCGTGCTTTAACTTGTAGGTGTGCGGAGCGCGTATGCCTTGGCTTGTACTAGAAAATGGAGTGTGAACCAAGCACTAGCCCTGGTCCACGTAGGCGGCAAAAAGATTAAGGGAAGATCCATTTGTGGATTCTTAGGGAATGCGTTAGCATGACCTTTGGAAACGCCACGCACGTCCCCTTTTGGGAAACGCGGACACTGACTTTGTGACGAAGCTACAAAGAGGCAACAAAAAATTTAGGAAGCAAAAGAGAAAGTCAAAACAGAAAAGTGAAGCAGTCAGCGGTAGCGTTTCCCAAGGGGGGACGTCTGTGGCGTTCGCCAAAGATCATGCTAACGCTTTCCCTAAGGATCCACCAATAGATAATTTTTCATTCTTATTTCTTTTTTTTAATTCAGGACGTGTTATATGGTGTATGAGATATGCACGGTGTACGGAGGTGTTTCTGAGATACCATCGCAACGTTTGCGAAAGAGCGTCACGCAAAACCGTCACGCAAACCATGATCTGCTAAATTTGGAAGGTGAGACATCCGGTCACCGCCAATTTAGGCAAACGGCTGTCACGTGTAGTCATCAAAATGACGGCGAAACGTCTTCAGCGTGACCAAATAACGCCAGCTAATGGGACGACGTCGAGCGATGGTGACTCCAGCCGATGAGAGTGAGCCTCGCGGTTAGCGCCTTTCTCCCATTGGCTGGTGTAAGCCTCACGCCCATTGGCTGGGGCAAGCGATCAGGAACCACGAATACAACCAACCCAGCGCATCTCAAAATATGCTGCACATTACATGTCTCCCGCCCCGTGCGCGTACACAATCGGCCTCTCTCCTCCCTTCTCAATCTCTTCACCACGCCTACACGCACACACATACCTGACTACATTTGTTGGGTTAAGGTACGTTTATTTTAGAGCGCAGCTCTTAGGCGCCCGTTTCCGGCTTGAGCGGTGTCACCGTCGGTGTCGGCTTCGGCGTAACCGCGCGTTGCATTACGGGACATTTCAAATAATAACGTCGCACGTGATGTCACGTGCGACGTCACGAAGGTCCTGAGGGACGTCACTCGTGAATTGCATTATGGGTAAATTTACCGCTAAATTCAGCAGAAAAATTGCGCCGCTAATTTTAGCGGGGACAATATTCCATTAAATTTAGCGGGGAATTTTTTCTGCTAACGTTTGCGGAGAAATTTACCCGCTAAATTTAGCGGAAAATTTTCCCCACTATATTTAGCTGGAAATTCCCCCGCTAAATCTGGTGAAAAAATTTCCCCACTAAATTGAACAGAAAAGTTTCCCCGCTAAATTTCCGCTCTAAATTTAGCGGGAAATTTTTTCCACTAAATTTAGTGGGAAATTTTGCGAAAATTACCCGCTAAATGAGAGGCGACCAGGAGAGGAGGGGGGAGGGCACGGATGAGGAGAAGGAGCATACACTCCTCTCCGCACCTCCCCCCCCCCCCCCCCCCCCCTTTCCGCTCAAGAGCTGTGCTCTTATTCAGCGTTACAGGGCATTGTAAACGTCTTTCATTTTTTAAAGCATAAAATACTAGTTAACGGTGCCCCCAGTCTCAAAATTTTGTCCGTCCGTCGTCCATCCATACGTCCACTCCCCGCTGAATTAAGTGGGGTAACTGAATTGGTGCTTAAGTCACATGATGCCAATTTATGCCATGGTGACCTAACGTCACGTGATCTACACACCGATTACGTTTCCCCAACAAAATCAACGCGGAAATCGATATCGAGTGACCTATACACCGATTCTGTTTCCGAGTAGTAAGACACGTTTACACCGTCAGAAAAACAGGAAAGAAAAATAAGCAAGAGTGGGTCGATGGGTACAAGGCCTCGACGCCCTGCCACATGACGCATTCAACACACAAAGAGAAAGCTTGATTTGCGCCTCCAGGCCCGACTCAAGCACAAAGGCTAAGAGAGAGTGCAAGGTGTCGGCATGGATGTCTGGTGGACCGATCAAAGCTGTTCGCATCTTCTGAAATACCCAAAAAATGTGGCCTCAAGCATCGTTCTGAGCATACGACGACGACGACGACGAGGACGACGCCGACGGGTCGCAGGTGTACGGGGTGTAGGGTAGCCAATGGCAGCAGTTTAGGCCTTTTACTTGGTACACGCTATACCTTGTTCACCCTTAAAGGCCGACTTACAACCTCGGTTTTCTTCAGGGAAGATAATCCTCTTAGTGCTCATCTCTCCTAGGCTGCAAGGGGGAGTCAAGCAAGTCAAGTTGGGGCAAGGTAAAAAAGTGGAGAGGATATAGGAAAAAAGAAGGTGTGCAAAAGTGGAAAGCGGGAAGTGTACGTAGGCCTTTAAGTTGAGTCTGGCAGCCAAAGCTACAATCGCGAGTTTCTTCTCAAGCATGCACTATTGAAGGAGACACCAGTAAATGTGTGTTGCTAGTTGAAAGAACTGTACTGTCCTTGTCCCTAAGTGTTTGTATTCTTTCTTTGACTCCTGTATTTTCACCAACACGCTCTTTCATCTTTGTCTCTTATATTTTGAGCTTTGTATGTCTTGTCCATGTCCCACCTTCAAACCGTCTGAATTCGACCCTGTAAGGTTTTTTCAAGCAGCGAGTTTCTTCTCAAGCATGCACTATTGAAGGAGACACCAGTAAATGTGTGTTGCTAGTTGAAAGAACTGTACTGTCCTTGTCCCTAAGTGTTTTTATTCTTTCTTTGACTCCTGAATCGCGAGCTAGCCCGCGCTCCTGGCTTTGAGACGTGCATTTCTAGTGCTAGTGCTCGTTCTGTGGAAGAGCACTTCTAAGCAGCGTCCCCAAGCTCTCGTGCCTGTGGCATTGGCTGTAGTGTCAGCTTAAGAGGGCGCGGTACCTCTATTTATTCGTCCGTTTCAGCCACCAGATGGCGCGCGGCTCGAAACGTGGTTGAACGCGCAACTTCTAGATGGCGCCAGTATCGAGGTGTGAAAAGGCCCGCGTTATCCGCTGCGTGAAATAGATCCTGAAATGTGCCGTGTTCTCCCGGCGGAGGAAGTTTCTCCTTCCCTCGCGCGCGCTTGGTATGTACGCGCGGTGGCCGAGTCCGGCCTCTGCGCTGTGTGATGCAGTGGGTGGCGCTCGTTTCTGTTCGGAGGTAGGAATAAAAATGCCGGTCCCCTTTTTTACGACGCTCGTTTCTATAGCTTGTTTTTCTTCTTTTCTTTTTTTATCTCAAGTGACCTACAGTACCGCCTGTTCGAAATCGTCCTTTGCGGTGAGCGATTGAAAGTCAGGTTAGCATTTTATTTGGGTCAGCACTACACGTTCAATGGAGACCTCGGGCGGCGATGTAAATATGCATTGCTCCCCAAAGTGTGTCCAAGGTGCGCAATGACAATTGGAAAGAGTATTGAAGGCGCGCGACCGTCGGTTGGTAAAATACGTGCGTTAGATTCACTTATTCAGTCTAATCATTTTTGCCAACGTCTTTTATCCGTTTCGACAAATGACATGGTCGAGTCTATTGATAAGCTTAGCTAGATTGGACGTACGGAGTGTCCGGGCTTTAAATAAATTTGCTTCGTTTATGTGAATGAATAACTGTTTTCTCTTTTCGTGTGCTCGGTGCTATGCAAAAATCGCTGACATGTTATGGTAGCTCAGTGTGGCGGCGTTTTGCACGCTGACTCGCTATTGCATTCGCTGTGCACAATATGTGTTCAGATGGAATGTGCTAAATCGTATTTCCGATCGATATGATAGATTTACTTTGCTACAGTGTTAATTATATTTTCCCGATTTAAACTGGTTCGTCCCTGATCTGAGCCTAAGTTCAAATTCGAAGGGCAGACAGACTTAGCGTCGTAACAGCCGTAATGCCGCCCACAAAGAAATTAGTAGCATGAAAGAAAAACAAAAGGATACGAGGTGGCTCAGTGTTATAGAAGTAATGAGTGTGCAAGGGATGCCATCGTACGTGTTTTTGTTTTTGTTTTTTTTTAATTTTTCGCATTGCTGGTAAACGCTCAAGGTACCAGCAAAGACAGTGAGCTGGCGTGAAATTTCCATCGAGCGGAAAACGAGTGTCATTTTTATTTCATCATGCG